CCACACCCACACCCACACCCACACCCACACCCACACCCACACCCACACCCACACCCACACCCGCACCCATACCCTCACACCGACACCCACATCCACCCCACGCTCACACTCGCATCCATACCCTCACACCGACACCCACACCCACACCCATATGAGTCTGTCCCGTGCGTGCATGAGCACTACACTCGCCACGGCTCCACTAGGATGGTTCCTGGTCGCGCGCGTGCGCGAATAGAATAAGCTATTCGTTTCACCAATTCAACGTGGTTTATTAGAGTGAAAGAAAAGAATAAAATTAGCCCATCGTAATGAGTCTATTCAATTGAAAATCGTTGAACACGATGATTTGACTGATCGACGACATAGAGATTGCCATGTCGATCGAAGGACAAACCAGTGGGATAGGCTAACTGATTTGCTCCTGCTCCTTGACCATTTCCACCCACAATAACTGTGCCCTGTTTCGCTTCTTTAGGCCAACGCATCACTCGATGATTATACGAATCTGCCACATAAAGGGTACTCAACATATCGACGAACAGCCCGTTAGGATACGACAATTCTGTCAGAGCATTCCCTTTGCTTTGACCCCCAGCGACGACAATTCCTTCTGTTGCACCTTTATTCCATTTCATCACACGATGATTCCAGTTGTCTGACACGTAAACAGCCTGTTGTTGATCGAGAAAGATAAATCTCGGCGCGTTGAATTGATTGAGACCATCACCTTTGCCATTGCCACCAGCCACGAGAGTTCCATTCTTGTCTCCTATTTGATATCGTCTTACTTCATGTTTGTCGATGTCAGAGATGTAGAGATATCTCTGATCATCCATGGTCAATCCCCAACAACCGATGTTGTCGATGAGGCTTTCTCCTTTAGTTGTGTCACTACGACGAGACCATCGTACGACTCGTCGATTCACTCGATCACATATAATGAGACTATCCGTCGCTTTGTCGATTAGCACATCACTTGGTCGATCCAATTGATCCAATCGATTTCCTTCGCCATGGCTACCAGCTACCATTTGACCATTCGTATCACCCATCTTCCATTGGATGATACGACTATTGCCGAAGTCAGCGATGATCATCGTTTGATCATCATCAACGAATAGACCTTCAGAACGGTGAAGTTGATTGGTGGCATTGCCTTTTCCATGACCTCCAGCAACGGTCATCCCATTCTGTTTCCAGCGGGCAGTGGCTGGAATATTGGGAATTACTCCAATGAAAGAAAAACAAAAGGAATCATCACTGTCGAAGAAATCTCCCCCTCTCACGCGGGAGAAAGAGCTACGGATGAGATATTCGTCTTCTTCCAAGAGAATTTGGTAAAACTTTCGAGAAAGTTCTTTCTGCAAATAAACATTCAGAAGTCTTTTCGAAGCTTCCTATGAGAAAAAAGGATTTCGTAACCAAAGATCTTTAAGATCCCAAAAAAGTACAGTTTTCGTGGTGGATGACAACTGCAACTGAAGATGGCTGTAAGGAGATTTTTCCAAGAAAGGCTAATTCGATGCAAGGTTTCAATAGAAAAACATTGGGATCTGAGGATTTTATTCGGAATTATGAGAATACAGAATCTTTTGCAAGATGATCATTGATATCAACATCAGACAAGAATTTAAGCAATAAAATAATAAACTATGTGAAACCCTTAAACTGAAAAAATCCTGAGAAGATTCTATCTGCATCTTGTTAGGAGAATGTTGAACAACAAATGTGAAATCGAAATTTCTATATTTTGCGGAAATTTAAGGATTCAATATGCATTTTTGAGGATGCTTTTCACGCGATTCGACACAAATCCTTATCACATGATTTTCTGGACGATGAATGGAAATCTGTCGAAGAGTATTCTAGACATTCGTATTGAGGATGCCGATGGGGTTTTATTAGGTTTTTGCCAACGTTTGTCAAGGTCTTCCAAGGACAATCTTGATAGGGTCTTAACAAGATAATAAGAAGGTTTGTATGCATGCGAAATGGAAGAAATGTGACAGGAGGGTGTGGGTGTGCATGTGGGTGTGGGCTGTGGGTGTGGGTGTGGGCGGATGTGGGTGTGGGCGGATGTGGGTGTGGGTGTGGATGTGGGTGGGTGTGGGTGGGTGTGGGTGTGGGTGTGGGTGTGGGCGGATGTGGGTGTGGGCGGATGTGGGTGTGGGTGTGGATGTGGGTGGGTGTGGGTGGGTGTGGGTGTGGGTGTGGGTGTGGGCGGATGTGGG